TGATCGTGTAAACCTTGGTATGCATCAGCTCGTAATTCTTTTTGATGACTTCTATGAAACTGTATTCTATCTTTTTCAATTTTTACATAGCTATCTACAAACCATTGTTAGAATAATCTACGTCCTCTAATGAGTGGATTAAATTCATTTTCTCTAATAGCTATTTTATATTGAGTGTAATCCAAACGCGTTAAGCTCTCTCGAGTCCGATTACCAAAATTTACACGTAACATATTCGTATTCCAACCTCGCGTTCCATACGAGTTAAATAAAGGGTAAATCCATGAGTCTACATTTGAATCTAATGAGCTAACATTTTCTAATGATTTGGTATCTTTATTTCTGATTGTTATATACGATTCAGGGATTTCTCTATCAGCATTTGTTGAGAATATAGCAGCAACTTCATTTACACGTTGATAATTGTATCGAAGATTGTCTTGACCAGGTTTTAAAGAAAATAATAACTGTGACTCGGAATTTATTAAAGTGTTGTTGATTTGTACAGTCAATTGCTGAATCCGTATCTCGTCTTTCATCATTACATAAGATTTAGCTTAAACATTACTAATAGGAATAATCCAATCTAAAATAGTCATCAGTTCATAATCTATAACTGGATTGTTTTGCATTCTATAATTCGAAGCCTCATTTTGATCGATTATAAAAAGTTACCCTTACGCTGGAGATTCTCCTTGGCTTAGATATAAGGCAGTATTCAGTTGATAATAAATTTGTCCTTAGATTTTAAAGTAGCATGGCCCTGATTAACGTGATTGAAAATTCACTAAATTGGCATTGAAAGATGTAAAAGACAATGAGTTATTGTAATTACGGATTCGTTCAACAAAGGTTAACGACTTTTCGTGTTCACCATTGAATAAGCTTAAAAGTTCTGATGGAAAATCTGGCAGTGCATCCAGTTTCACAGTCCCATGGCCACAACAGTCATTAAATGATAAATTTCTCCTAATTTTTTCATCAGCAAAATGTCGAGCCTTACAATGCTTACATAAACTATCTATTGATCCTAAGTAATCAACTTGCAAAGCCTCTTCCAACGTACGATTATTATCAACAATACGTTAGCGAACAAGTTGCCACCTACGTCGTTGACCTTCTGTTTCTTTATTGTGTCTATTTTGTTTTGAAATAGCTACTTCATGATCTGTTCTTTTTGGTCGACTCATAGTATTAAATATTTATCTAGTATTGCTATTGGAATGGTAATTAATTCTTAATTAGGCTCCATAAAGTAATAGTAAAGAGTTTGTATATATTTATTTTAAAAAAAACGTGTTTTAATAAAAACTCATCAATCAAATTTTTTAAATTTTTAAAATTCAATAAAGTAGACCATTAATATATTTAATAACAATTATTTCAAACTAATTAATCACTTTATGATAAATAAGATTTTTTTATTTGGTTCTGATTAGATTGGTTTTGTTTAGTTGGTTCAGTTTGGTTGGTTCGATTTGTTTGATTTAATTTTGCTGATTTGGTTTAGTTGATAAATTTATGTGAGGGTTTGATTTTGTAATAGAATGATACAAAATATTAATGCTTTTTCATTTATATTTTGTATGATGGTTGTGTATATTAATAATTTGTGTTGTGTACACAACAAAAAAGCTATTACGTAGAATCAATTCCACAAAATTCCCACTCTGCAAGCCATGAGAACCTGAAAAAATAAAATAAGAGTTATGTATAAAATAAACGCTGGGGACAATTGATAAAGATTCATATTAAAAAATACTAAATTTAATCCAGTACATGATTGAGGTATAGGCAAATCTCAAAACTTTTATTTTTGGCCCTTACTATTTTAAAGATATGAAAATAATTTCGGTCAAGTCACAATAACAACTATTTAATTCGCTAGGAGAATTATGAAGTAAAGAATTTATAAGAAAATTTGTAATGTTTGGAGTATTCCATAAAATATGAAGCACATAGTCTTTATCAATTCCTGTACTACTAACCCTGATTAGCACAAAATTTCAAAGGCGTGCTCTAAAAATTGGCAAATAAAACTTTTTTTGCAAGAAATCAAAAGTTTGTATGATTTGCCCGTATACTTTTATTTGCAATTACTCTAGTAATTTTGTTCTGCATAATATACCTAAACTGCTATGAGAGAGAGAGAGAGAGAGAGAGAGAGAGAGAGAGAGAGAGAGTATTATAATAATTTCTTAACTTCTAGCCACAGTTATAAAAGGTGTGTATTGCATGAATTGGTTAGATATATTCAATTACAATTTCTTTATTAAATATATAACTAGTTTAGTTTATACGAGGTGTGTTCAAAAAGTAACGAGAATTTTTAAATTTCGCGGGTTTGGAGAGTCCGCTTGTATAAAATTTTTTTTTTATTATGTTGGTACACATGCCCCTGAAGTACGATAAAATTTTCAGCAATATTCATTGCTTACTTTTTAAGTGGCAGCCGCTAACGTTAGACGTGTTTTTCGAGCTCGGCGATTTTCGTTTGTGAAAAAAAATGGATCAAAGAATTTGTATTAAATTTTGCGTAAAAAATGAAATAAAGTGTAGTAAAGTTTGTCAAATGTTAACAAAGGCATATAGTGAGTCTGCTATGAGTAAAGCAAGGATTTATGAGTGGTATAAGCGTTTCCAAAATGGCCACGAAAACGTTGAAGATGACGAACGACCCGGACGCCCAAGCACATCAACAACCGATGAAAACGTGAAAAAAGTGAAAGAAATGGTTATGAACGATCGCCGAATCACAATCAGAGAAGTCGCTGATGATGTTGGCATATCAGTTGGCTCATGCCATCAAATTTTTTCGAATGTTTTGGGTATGAAACGTGTGGCAGCAAAATTCGTTCCAAAATTGTTGAATTTCGAACAAAAACAGCGGCGAATGGAAGTTGCTCAGGAGTCGCTAAATGAAGTCAATAACGATGCAGAACTACTAAAACGTGTTATAACAGGTGACGAAACATGGGTTTACGGATATGATGTCGAAACTAAGGCTCAATCGTCCCAGTGGAGGCATTCTGGATCGCCAAGACCGAAAAAGGCTCGACAAGTACGGTCGAATGTGAAGGTTATGCTCACTGTGTTCTTCGATTTTAATGGCATAGTGCATTATGAATTCTTGCCACAAGGTCAAACAATCAATAAGCAGTACTACCTACAAGTTCGACGTCGTTTGCGTGAAGCAATCCGAAAATAACGCCCGGATTTGTGGCAAAACAATTCATGGCTTTTGCACCACGATAATGCGCCTGCTCACACTTCATTGCTTGTTCGTGAATTTTTGGCCAAAAACGAAACTGTAACGATGCCTCAGCCTCCATATTCGACAGATATGGCTCCATGTGACTTTTTTCTATTTCCAAAAATAAAGAGAACATTAAAAGGCCGTCGTTTTACAAGCATAGATGACATTAAAAGCGAATCGCTGAAAGAGCTAAAAGCTATTACAAAGATCGAGTTTCAAAAGTGTTTCGAGGATTGGAAAAAGCGTTGGCAAAAGTGTATTGTATCCGAAGGGGACTACTTTGAAGGCGACAACATTAATGTAGATGAATAAATAAATATTTTTTTCATAAAACGAAAATTCTCGTTATTTTTTGAACACACCTCGTATATGACCACTATCGTATTCAAAAGAGGCGCTCAGAATAATCAGGATTTGACTCATCTAATTTATATCTTTTCCATGTTTTCTAAAAATCTGAGTGAACAGACTCCATAGTCTGCTCATTATAAAAATCAAGTCTTTTTTCATATTTAAAACAAGAGTATGGTACATGTTCAATCATTGTATGAACTTTTGTAATAATACTAATACTCAAAAACTCGTAGCTTGCTTTGAAATTCTTTATGTAGTCTTGAAATTGGTCACGAAGTACATTTAAAAAATAACAATCGACAACAAATAAAAAGTCTTGGAAACATTAACCCATTAAGGCCCAAATGTCCTAAATTTTCAACGAATCTTCATGCAGTTATTTTTCATATTATCTGCACCAAAAAAAATTTCCAACACATCATATCCGACGTAAAATTTGATGTTCTTTCAGAATATGGCTTCAGAATTTGTCTAAAGTCACTGCTAAAAAAGTTATAATTAAATATTTGCAAAAGAAAGCGATTTTTTCAACTTAAAAAGATTTTTTATTCAACATTTTTTTAAGAAATTGATAAAGATGCACATCTTTTTACAGCTAGAAACGTGTCCTCGAGTCCTAAATTTTAAGACATATGGGGTACAAAATCGAAAAGCCAACATGGCGGTTCTCAAAATAGCGCCCGAAGTGATAATTTTTTTGAAAAATTTCAGGATGCTATAACTTGAAAACTATGAGCTTTTCTGAAAAAATGCTTAGAATGAAAAGTTCTTAGAATTCATCAAGAATTACACTGGAATTTTTTCAGATTTTTTTTCATGAAATTTTGAAAAATTTTTTTTTTGGATTTTTGAAAATTTTTAAAAATTTATAAAAAATTCTGGAAAAATTCCAGTGTATTTTTTGATGAATTCTAAGTATTTTTTGTTCTTTCTAATTTTTTCCAAAAGTTGATAGTTTTCGAGAAAAAAAATCATAAACATGTTATATATATGTATATACATGCATATGTTAATCGGCTTCCGCTGGGTCGCCGTCCATGAGCAGAACAGAGAAGCTTACTCTGTAAGTAAAAGCGAGTTACCCAATAAGATTATGAGTTTGACTAAAGGGTACAGTGTGTAATACAGTAGACCCATTCTTTTAAAGTCACTTGACCGTTAATCGTTAAATAGTGATTTTTACTACATTTTTCTTTGAGAGAATAGAATTGCGAAATCATTATCGTTTTTTCTATGTTCTTTGAAAAATTTTCATTTCATTATTTCCGAAAATAATAAGAGTACGCATAAGTCGATTCCATTTTTTATCTTCTTGAACAGTGCTGCTCATAGGAGTTGAAAGAGATTTTCCTTTTTATCGTAATTTTTTGAACATTGCCGTGTACAAAATATGTCGAGTACGGCAAAAAAAAGGAAATCGTCTCGAATAAAATCAAATGTATGTGTTGAGGAAGATGAAAATTCTCAAATAATCATTCTTCCTTCTGCTGATTATTCCGGCGAGTCAGATTCGGATGTTGAATCTGAAGAAGTAGGTGTCGCAGATCATGCTGCTATTACAGATTTTCAGGATGAAAATGTATTACACGAGTACTCAGAATTATCGGGTGATGTTCCTGGTATATCTTATCGTAAAGTTTTGGACGCTTATGGTGAGAACCAAGAAAAATTAGAACCAGACCATGAGTATGAATGGGTGGATGGTGAATGTGTTATCAATGGTACTTCTGATAATGCTTTATTGCTCCCAACAAATGTTCAAAATAAAATTCGCGATTCTTCTTTGGTAGATCTATTTCAACTATTTTTTTCTTTAGAGTTGAAGGAAGTTATTGTTGATGCTACTCGTGAAAATGGATATGATCTTACGATTGAAGAGCTAGATGTTTTTGTTGGGATATTAATTACATCTATGTTCAATGGCAGAAAATCCCAAAAGGATTATTGGTCCAGACTGCCACTTTTACGTTGTGAACCTATAGCTGCTGCTATGTCAAAAAATAAATATTCCACTATCAAAGAAAAAATTAAAATGTCTAAAGATAGCGATGGTAACTCAAATGACAGAGCTTGGCGTGTCCGAAAGCCATTAGAGATTTTTAGAAAGAATATAAAATGCTTTGGTTACTTTTCAAGCTCTATCCGTTGATGAGATGATGATTAAGTTCTATGGTCGAACGGTCTTGAAGCAGTACATACAAAATAAACCTGATCGTTTTGGGATAAAAATGTGGGCTTTATGTACGGTCAATGGGTTTCTCTTAGACTGCGATATTTATTGCGGAAAAGGGACGAATATTTATGCTTCAGAGACGAACCCAAAACTTAGTAAATGCGCTTTAGTTAGCCGAGTAGTTCTTCAAATGGTTCAAAACTTGCTTCTGACAGTCACTCCAAGAAAATTGTATCAATATCATCTTACATTTGATAATTTCTTTACTGGTCCAGATTTATTGGTACATTTGAAAAATATAGGATTACGAGCTACAGGAACTGTGAGATCAAACCGAATAAAAACTACGAATGAAATTGATAAAAAATCCAAGAGAGGAACGTTCGTTTCAAAATATGATAAAAACAGTGGTTTGAATTATATAACCGTTATGGACTCGAAGCCCCTTTCGGTTCTTTCAACTTGTGCTAGTGTAAGGCCTTTCGGAACGGTGAGAAGATATTCTAAAGAACAAAAAAAGAAAGAAACCTTAGAATTTCCAAGAGCTTTCACATTCTACAATCAATATATGGGCGGTGTTGATCTTCACGACTCGCATTGTAGTAATTTGAGAAGTCCTGTAAGATCTAAAAAATGGACGTGGGTTATTTTTATGAGACTCATTCAATCTTCGATAACGAATGCTACTGTTCTGAAGAATTTGGTAACTCATGACAAAAAAATAGGAACGAAAGACACAGCAGTGGCTGTTGCTGAAAGCTACTTAGCAAAATCAAGTTACAATTTGGAAAGACATAGATATGAAACAGCCCCGAGAAAAAAATACTGTACCAATAGTAAAAGTTGTGGTAAAAGGATCACAAAAAAATGTACTGAATGTAATACTTACCAATGCTTATCTTGTTTTACAGCAAAACATAAGAAGTGATTAGTCATTCGAAAACTATGGTGAATAATTCCCGGAAAGGCAAAACTTATGTTAGCATTATCATATGAAAAGAAAAAGCAAATGAGAAAATAATGACGGGAGAAAACAAAATAATATCGAAAAAACCTGAAAGGACTAAAAAAAACACAAAAGAAATAAAACACAAGAAAAAAAACAAAAAAAAACAAAAAAATGAAAAAAAAAAAACAAAACAAAAGATCCTTGTGATTCCACCTCCACCCGGTTAGGATTAGGCAACGTTGAAATTTATCAACGGCTAACGGAATTTACAAAACGCCTCATTTTTCCTAATCAATGATATATACTTTTAGATTTCTGTATTTGGATTTACGGAATACAGCATGCAAAACGTTTGAAATTTTTTTCTCAAGAACTATCAACTTTTGGAAAAAATTAGAAAGAACAAAAAATACTTAGAATTCATCAAAAAATACACTAGAATTTTTTATAAATTTTTAAAAATTTTCAAAAATCCAAAAAAAAAATTTTCAAAATTTCATGAAAAAAAATCTGAAAAAATTCCTGTGTATTTCTTGATGAATTCTAAGAACTTTTCATTCTAAGCATTTCTTCAGAAAAGCTCATAGTTTTCAAGTTATAGCATCCTGAAATTTTTCAAAAAAATTATCACTTCGGACGCCATTTTGAGAACCGCCATGTTGGATTTTCGATTTTGTACCCCATATGTCTTAAAATTTAGGACTCGAGGACACGTTTCTAGCTGTAAAAAGATGTGCATCTTTATCAATTTCTTAAAAAAATTTTGAATAAAAAATCTTTTTAAGCTGAAAAAATCGCTTTCTTTTGCAAATATTTAATTATAACTTTTTTAGCAGTGACTTTAGACAAATTCTGAAGCCATATTCTGAAAGAACATCAAATTTTACGTCGGATATGATGTGTTGGAAATTTTTTTTGGTGAGATAATATGAAAAATAACTGCATGAAGATTCGTTGAAAATTTAGGACATTTGGGCCTTAATGGGTTAAATATATTTTATGCAACGACCTCCATAATTTTCAGAAATGCTACGTAAAATATCTGTATTCTTCAACAATTTGCTGGATGAATTTCCATTGAAAGGAGATTTACCAAAGTAAACTTCTTGATCAACATATAATTCTTTGTTTATAATGCTAATTAGTAAAAGGAATTTAGGAGGTGGAGTAAAATCTATAATTTCTATGTCTTCGTCGAAATCAAAGAAAGGTTGACTTACGCAGTTTGCATATTCCATAGCTCGTTCTTTTGGGCTACCATTTTCTTTCCAAGCTTCAGCATTTTTTCGACAATTACCGAGTGATCTTAGTTCTTTACATTTATTTAATTCATTATTAGATGATAAACACTAACAGCAAGGGTACTTACTTGTATGAATCATTAAACCTATTAAAATATTTGCTAATTTCAAGTCAGTAGCTACCGTACATTCAAATGTATCAAGATTCAGCAGTAACCATAATAATGAAACATTTCGAAATTTTCTCGAGTTAATTCAACTATACCAATTATAAATAATTTCTTAACAGTTGAACACCAAAAATTCTCATCGAAGCCATCTTTGTTTAATGGACGTAACTTTTTCCTTCCGGTACTTTTATCAATCTCATCAATGTCAAGCAATGAAATAAAATATAAATTAAAAAAAAAATCCTCCTCCATCTATACCAACTTTTTAATGAAGATTAACTACATATCTTTCTTTTTCCACTAATTCATAGTTCTTTGATGTTATTACAATAAATAAAATGCTTATTTTCTATTGTTATTCCTAGCCCTTTTGTGGTTACAAACACTGCTTCTGCGATCAAAAAATGATTCATGCTTCTTAATTTACATTTCAAATCTTTTTCTATATAGTTGCAATCTTTTAATATTATTCGAAGGCACATTACCATTCCACACATTCATTTAGACTCAGTCCATATCTTTGTTGCAATTTTATCGTATTATTTGTAGAAATTTTATTACGATGATTTTTAGGACATAAACTCATTACTAGAGGTCTACCATATTTTCATCATTTATTTTTTTAGTGACATTTTGTTTTATAATCAAAATTATTAATATTTATGAAAAAATGGCGTTTGTACAAGAAAAACGTGAATTTTCCTCTATCTTTTTTTTCAAATCTAGTTTTCAAAGCTTTTTACGTTAGCAATTGTCTAGAAACCTTTTTAACCGGTGGAATAAATGGTTGAGCTTTAAGAATCCATGGTTCAAAGATCGATTTTTCACCTTAGAATTTTCGAAATGACGCCCAAGTCGCAAAATTTTTTCAAATAATTCATGATTTTTTCTCAAAAACTATGAACTTATGGAAAAAGTGCCATGAAAAGAAAAATACTTAAAATCAATTCAAGAATACACCTGAATTTTTTCGACAAGTTTTGAGTACATTTTTTATTTTTTTAAATAACAACTTTTTGCAAAATAAAAAAATTGCTCAAAATACGTCCAAAAAATTGTTATGTATTCTTTGGCCAATTCTAGAATTATTTTATTTTTCTCAATTTTTTTCGCATTTCATTGTTTACAACAACATTTTCAAGTTTTAAAGTAGTATTATGAAATTGCATCTAACGAATTTTTTTATTGAAAAGCAGTAAGTTTAAAAAAAATGAGAAGAATAAAATGTTTCTAGAACTAACAAAATAAGGAAAAATATCTAAAATAAGGAGTACAAATAAAAAATATAAGCCGTTTATTCTGGTTGAAAGTATTATAAAGCATAGTGTGTTTTGTGAAACGCAGAGCTGGATTACAGTTCATAGCTAGTTGTGATAAAGAGTCCAAAACACAAATGTAGAGAATACTAGCATGGCCATTACTACTAATTATGAGGTGTAATTATTCGGCTTTTGTTTTGATTAACTGATACTTTATAAATAATTACACTTATTGGGCTCTTACTGATACAGATTAATCAATAAAAACAATGATCACAACTAATGAAGCAACATGAGTTACATATATTTCACTAGGATATGTTCACTAAGAGTAAATGGCTGAACTTTTGAAGTTCTAAAATAACTGAAATTAAATATCACATCGATCGCTATTTAGCTTTTATGTTAATGATGAAAGAACCTAAAACAATAGATATTATCAGTGAAAATTGAATTAAATTTTCATCTTTTCAACGTAAACTTAATATTTATTGAATAATTGTCATTTTACAAATAATAGATACAAAGGAATACAATTGCTTGTATGTACAAGGGGGCGGGGTCAATAAGTTTTTACAAAATCTAAGAGATGGCGCTCGTCACGCTTAAATTATGATGTTTTTGTCAAGCAATACTACTAACTAGATATCGTACAAAGTTTCAGCTCGATTCGTCAAGTCGTTTTTTTGTGAGCGTTGGTTGAACAAAAAGTTATTAGTTTATTCGAAAAATGGAAAAAACACAGTTTCGAGCGGTAATAAAACATTTTCATTTGAAAGGCCTTACACCAAATGAAATCACAGTTGAGTTGAACGCCGTCATGGCAAGTCAGCCCCTGTGTTTAAGACTGTTTATAACTGGGTAAATGAATTTAAACGCGGCTGTACAACAACAAAAGATGAACCTCGTTTGGGAAGCCCCGTAGAAGTGAGTACGCCCGAAATGGTCAACAAAATCCACGATATGGTGTCGAGTAATAGAAGATTAAAATTGCGACAATTAGTTGAGGCCACAAGAGTATCAAAGGGTACAATCATTTCAATTTTGCATAAAAAATTGGGGATGAAAAAAATATCAGCAAGATGGGTGCCGCGTTTGCTCACTGTTGAAAACAAACGAACCCGCGTGGTCACCTCTGAGGCTCTTTTGGCACGCATACGTCGTAATCCGGAAGACTTTTGGCGTCGACTCGTAACTGTAGACGAAACATGGGTACACCACTACACTCCTGAAACCAAAGAACAGTTCAAACAATGGATTACCGCAGGAAAACCAGGCCCAAAGAAGGCAAAGACAGTAAAGTCAGCTGGCAAGATTATGGCCACGGTTTTCTGGGATATGTATGGAATCATCTACATCGACTACTTGGAAAAGGGCCAGACGATCACTGGACAATATTATGCGTCATTATTAGGTTGCTGAAAAAAAATCAGAGAAAAACGTCCTCACTTGAACAAAAAATGCCTCTTTCTTCAAAACAATGCTCGAGTACACACGTGTGCAGTTTCGATGGCAAAAATTAACGATTTAAAGTTCGAATTAATTGACCATCCACCATATTCGCCTGATTTGGCTCCCAGTGATTTTCTTATTTCCTAACCTCAAAAAATGGCTTGCCGGATAACAATTCACGTCGAATGATGAAGTCATCGCCGAAACAAATGCCTATTTTGAGGGTTTTCAGAAATCATATTTTTCTGATGGCTTAAAAAAACTGGAAGGCCGTGTAATAAAATGTTTCGACCTTTAAGGAAATCATGTTGAAAAATAAAAAAAAATTACATACGCAAAACTTTTTTTTCCTTCTTTTTGTAAAGACTTATTGACCCCCTCTCGTACTCGAAATTGAGTAACAGTAACTTACATGTTATGCATAAGTGGACAAGTAGGTTTCGAAGACAAATATCAGAGTATTTCCAGTGTTTATAAGTTTACATTAAGTTACATTATCAGTCAAATTTTGAATTATAATATTCCATAAAGTATTAAATATTACATTTTTACAGACTATCAACTACAAACTTTAATTAAAATTTATTTTCTTTTCATTTATACAATTATAATATTAAACATTGTTTTTAAATGTACATTATGTTTGTCTTCTATTTATCTTAAAAAATTTGTAAAATCTATAATCATAATATTTTTTCAGTCTGTTGAAGAATAATTTATAATTTAAATTAAATTAATATAATTTATTTAACATTTAGAGGGTAGGAAAACCACTATAGTGGCTGAAAATAATTTCTCAAGTTAGGCTGTAAAATATGTTAATTCTAGGGTTTTTGGGTATAGTGATTACGTATTTA